TGAAAGTCAACATTTTCAGTCAGACAACTGTTTGATTTCATAACACCATTTCAATGAACTAAATAAGCATAGGAAAAAGAGAGTGACAACCATGGATCTCAAACATTCACCCTTTGGTTTTTCTTGAAACTCTATTATCCTTCCTCTTTCATCAATCTTCACCAATCCGTAATCAGAGGCACGACTGCCGGAAAGAAGAAATCAGAAAGAGACATGATTCAACAAAGTTTGATGCAAGATCTTTTCTACATAAGATCACAATCTAGAAAAGGCATGCTAACAAGATGCTGGAATTACAGATCAGATAAATTGTACTAAAAGTATTTTGCACCAGTTATCCACAGGGAGACAACACACAGATACATCAGCACCCGAATCAATGTGCTTCTGCATATAGAGATGTATCCTTTCAGTAAACTACATAATCAGTGGAACTACTAGACTAAAGAAATAACTAAAAGTCAGAAGCTATACCCAACCTGCAAAAAATCCATGTAATCCATTTGATAGAGATGATCGCCAGATAGTATCAAAATGTTTTCTATGTGTCTATGCTTAGCATCCTAGACAGGTCACCAGAAAAATGTCACTATCATTGTATTACATATACTCTTATCTTGGTACCATCCCAAATCAGAATGTGAAGTCTAATTCTAGATGACCATCCCAAATCAGAATGTGAAGTCTAATTCTAGATGACAATCCAAAAGACAGAATAACTCTGAGAACTTTCACATACCTCAAACAACCAAATGAACTGCCTAACAGCATCTGCTGTACCCTGAAACCACTTCTTTCCCCATTCTCCGGGTGTTTGAGTAGCTGCTAGTACCTATTATGACAAAAGGAGTTATGGAGCATTTTCTTAATTTATGTTGGCAACTAAAATAGCTTTTGAGATGTCATAAAAATGTTGCAAACACTGGTTTACAAGTAAAATAAATGGAATCGTCAAATCCTAATTTTGTGTTTCTATACCACTAGCCATCATCATCATTCATCAGCTTACCTCGATAAACCCATTGCCAAAGTGTACACCATTTCCTAAATTATACGTTCGAACAATGTGTTGGTTGAGAGATCGAGAATTAAACTGAGTGAGAATGAAAATTTTGTTGATTCCACTATTTATGCAATTACTCATAGGCACGTCTATCAGTCTATAGCATCCCCCAATTGGCACCTGCATACCATGTACAGCATCAAGAATTTTAAATGCTTCAGTCAATGTGCTTCAAATCAATTTTGATGTGCAGTCATCAAGCAGCTTTAAGCTAGATTACAGCTGGTTTAGCCCTTCTTTGAGTAAGAGGGAAAAGTCGTGTTCCAGCTCCACCACCCAATATGATAGAAGCAACAGTCTTTGGGTCTGCTACTGATGTTGCAAATCTTTCTTCCTGGAAGATCTGCAGTGCAGTATCACACTTCTCATATTGGAGCACTTTATACAAAACATTGAGGATGCACTGGCAAAAAATAGAAATTAAGACTCTATATGAAAGAAGGAAACTGGCCCTCAGGAACCACATGGTATTGTTTCCGCAAGTAAAATGCTATGCAAATGCATATAATATTGTCCAACAGGCAGATAAACAAGTGAAAGTTACCATGAAATCTTTAGCAACATCAGGGAGAACAGAAGTAGTCAAGAACCTTTTGGTTTTGGGACATCTCTTCCTGAGGATCTTGAACTTCCCTACATGGACATCACATATTGTACTGTCTAAAAAGCCAGTTCCCTCTGTATTTACAAACAATGGAGATGACAATAATCTGTTATGGCAAGACAATGGCAGCTTTGGGGACTGACAACAGCTAGAACCAAGAATTTCCATGTGACTTGAGTACCAAAATCAAAATAGTAAGAAGAATGAATGTTCAACAATTCTTTTGTTCAGGAATAGAATATGGAGATCAAGCCTTCTCCTCTGCTCTCATCAGCTTGATGCTCAACAATCCTTTTGTTCAGGAATAGAATATGGAGATCAAGCCTTCTCCTCTGCTCTCATCAGCTTGACTATCATACAACATGAAAGCCAAAAGGAAGCATCTCAAGATGAGATAATCCATTAAATAAATTCAAAACTCGTCTATCTTGGAACTGGGATTTGAAATGCAACTCCAAGTCTTTTCTGAGAGAAGGATAAGGAAAATACAATGTGACATTATTAGAAACTGTAGATGTATATGTAGAAACCAAAATGTGGGAAGAAAATTTTATTAGCTTACTCAATCTGAAACATGAACCATGGTAGAAATCCAAAGGCATTAACAATATCCTATTAAAGAACTATTAAGAAAAAGTAAGAGATTATGCAATGAGATTTGGAGATGGGGACAACCAATTGGGTTTTCAGGAGACAAGAAGAATTTTATCAGACAAAAATAAAACAAAATTAAACTAGGATTGTCTTAGTTTTATAAGTTGGAAAAGCAACAATCATTAAGTTGCCTCAAGATGCAGCAAGGAATGGCTACATCAACAACATTATTCACCTTTTTCATCTACAAAAATATCATTTCACTACTTTCTCTCTCTCTCTCTCTCTCTCTCTCTCATGAAACTCAGTTAAGTCATTCAGATTCTCGTACAACTTAAACTTAGTAGAAAAGCCACTACCAGATCAGAACACCAAAAACGCCATCACCATTTCCTGTAAAATATACCAAACCATGTCAATGAGCATTAGAGCCCGTAAGGCCTTATATCAGTTAATTAAACATGCTAATAATCACTTTTAGTAAAAACCCAGTAAAGGGAAAATAATAAAACTCAAAAAATCCATATTAATACTACCAAAATTTACTTAATTACAACGTGATGCAATATTGTCAAGACCAAATTTGATTTACATGAATTAATTTTCAATTATGCATTTTAACACAAGGGATGCTTTACTCAATTTCAAAATTGTGATTTTATAACATTTCAATTTACTAAAATTTTTAACTTGATTAAAAGCTTCATTTCTCCTTCTTTTTAAAAAAAAAAATGCTTAATTACATTTATTAATTCTACCAAAACCAAAACCAAAACCAATTTAATAATCACCAAAACCAATTTAAATTATCTGTTCTTGCATTTTTCCAAATCAGTTTACAAAATCCAATATATTGGTAAAATTTAAATAGTTGTTAACAAAGATATATATATATATATATATATATATATATATATGAAAGACATTCCACATTCTCCAAAGTCCATGCTCTCCTTTCTCTGTTTTCTCCTCAAAAAGCTGTGTCCCTTCTTTCTTGGGTTCGGCTTCATTAATAACTGAAACCACTCACCAACTCCAACCCAAATCGACGCTCCTCCTGCTTCCTCTTTTCTTTTTCCCCAGGCTGGCATTGAGTCACCATCTTCATCATCGCAGCTGAGCTTTCTGTCTTGGCTTGCTCTCCGAGTTTCCTTTTTCAGCTTCGTGTTTGACATCCTCATCGTCGTCCACCAATCGTCATAATCAGTTGCCGTAATCGTCTCCTGCCTCACCTGCTCCTTGCCACCTGCAAAAGAAGAAGAAGAAAACTTTTCACTCCATTCCCTCCCTCACTCTCCGGACGAAGAGGAAGCGAGAAGCTTTTTAAGTCTCCCACGCAACGGTGACGTTTCATGGAAAACTTTAATGACTTCCGTAAGACGTTACCGTTTTGGGGGAAGGGAAAATGGTCATATGATATATTCTTATTTTAATAATATATATACGTATGGGGTAATTTTCATCTTCCTTTTATATATATAGTAAATAATAGATTTTAAATAGTTTTTTAATATAAAAATAGAATTAATTCCTAATTGACTATAAATTACATAATAAATAATTTTTAAATATAAAAGTATATTTAATATGATAATTACAAAAAATTAACCAATTATATAATTTAATTCTAATTTAGTAGAAAATTTTTATTTTACTGTAATTGCTACCAATACATCCTAATTTAAATTATCAAATATATATGATAGATAAAATAGAATTAAAATATTACTTTTTTTTTTTTTTTTGGATTTTTGAATATAGAAATAGAATTTGTCTTTAGTTGTTGATTATAAATATATAAAATTAATAAATAAATAGAATTAGTCTTGAATTTGACTTAATCCAAACCTTTAAATTCCTTTTGGCACAAGAGATTAAAATTAATAATTATGAAGTAGAATGATAATATACTAACTTTAATATTAACATTAGATTAAATAGTCAAATTTTAAAATGCACCTTAAATGTGTAATGATTTATAAAATATGTGTTTGTTTAATTTTAAAATGTGAGAATTTTTGTATACTGGGGAGAAAAATATAATTTACCTTTATTCAAATTGTCAATTAGCAACCTACTCAAATCATTAGTTTCACTAAAGAACATAAATCTATTAAAGCTACTTTTAAACACACCTTGGACTAAGGTTAAAGTGGATTGCAGAATACAAAAAGTGGGGGAAAAGAAAAGATAAAAAATGAAGGATTACATTAATTATTGTGCAAACAATCAAGCAATTGAGAAGATATTTTGAGCTCCCTCCAATTCTACGTCCGAATAGAATACCTAATTGTGAAAATTGTAATTAATATTTAATGCTAAATAACTATTATGAGGATATTTATTAGTGATTAATTTCACTAATTAAATACATTTATGTATATTTTGTAATTAATTATGTTGCAGTTAAATTGTTTTATTTTTTTTCTTTTTTGATACGCTCTTGTACTATAAATATTTAATAATAAAATTTATAGTATCAGAACTGACCCAACTCTCAATATTAGAAACCGTCAATAAATGGTTAATTCTCTTTGAAGAATAAGGTGTGTACTCAATCATGAATTTGAACACGTCAAAAAGCTATTCGCTCTAACTCATTATAACGAAATTCAATGGAAAAAACTTTTGATAATGGCAAAAATCGATTAACTCACTATAGAGAAGTTCAATGGAAAAACTTTTGATAATGGCAACAACATGTTAAGCTCTTTTCTAATTTTCAAATATCAAGTTAATCCTCCCCTACGCATATTTTCATGGGATCATGCTCATAGAGGTAATTTAAGGCATGGAGCATTATTTTTAGAAGAAAAAGTTCTAGGACAATTGATCCTGGTGTTTCTTAACCATGTCCTGCAAATTTGAACGTTAAAAATATAGATAATTCACTTTCTTCAGTCGTTTGAAAAGAGAATATTCGAATCTCATACTCTCTGATCTGAGAATTCATTTTTTATGTCTCAAAATTATTGTGCAATTTATTATTTGTCACTTAGTTGGCAAAAGACTAAAGTTTTGTTGTATTCATTCTACCTTATTATATTTTACAAGACATATCGTTAGGGAAGTTGATCGACAATGTTAAGGAATATAAATAACTCTATTATTTTGAAGAAATTGAAGCGAGTAACCAAAGTAAATTTTTAACTTCTAGTTATGCTTCTACTTATAGGAAAAATTAAATTATGTTATGGCATTATAGAATGATCATGTAAATTTTCAGTCTTTTAAATGTAGTTTTTTCGTTTTTTTTTTTCAATGAAGAGAATTTTGAATTTCAATATGAAGGGTGTGAACTTGTAAAACACCATCGAGCACCATATCTAGAATCAGAATACGAACAATCCAAACCTTTTTTCATGATTCATAGTGATCTGCAAATACCTTCTTGTACTCCTGATCAAACACATAATAAAATGGTTTATTTTTTTCTTAGATGATCGCACTCAAGTATATTAGGTGTACTTGCTAAAAAAAAAACAAATGTTCATTCAATATTCATCAATTTTCATTCAATGATTCACCCCAAGTTTCAAACACATATACAAAATTCTATGTACTAATAATTGCATAGAGTATTTCAATTCTATTTTTAGTGACTACCATTGAAAAAATCTAATTATTTATCAAAGTTTATGTGTTAATATTCTATGACAAAGTGGAGTCATCGAACGAAAAAATCGACATCTGTTAGTGGTTGTTTGTGCCCTAATAATCACTATGAATGTGCTAAAAACATTTTAAGCAGACACCATTTTAACCTTTATACATGTCATTATTTGAATGTTTAACCTAGTTCTCTCGTTCAAAACTTCTTTTTAAAAATTCCAATAATTTTTCCTACCTCTTGTCTTGGCATAAGTCATCTCGAAGTATTTTATTGTGCAATTCGCATTTGTTCATACGATCATTTTTCCTATTATGACAAATTGGATCAAAAGCGCATAAATTTCTCTTCATTGGACACTCACTATGCAATAAAAGGCTATAAATCCTATTATCCATCTACTGATCAAATATTTGTCAATCTTGATATTATATGCTTTAAAACACTTCTTATTTTCGAGACACCAATATTCAAGGAGAAACTTTGAATAAAGATTGGTGTTATTTGAACTTTAATCTTTCTTATCCATCTCTACTGATCACTTTATCCAATTATTATATGTCATTTATAGAAGGAAATTTAAGCTTAGAGAGAGATTTAAAACAACAAATGAGAAAAAAGATATTAGTTTACTCACGAAGACTAAAGATAAAGTACAATGAGAATTTTACCTGAAGCATTAAAAAAATCAAGATTAATGATAACTCTGACTAATCATGAGTCTTTTGATCTAGAATAAGTAGTAAGTAATCTTTTATCATCTTGATTATGTTGGTTTAAATACTTTTTTATCACCTAATGAGTTTGTTGATTCAAATAATTTTTTATCACCTAATGAGTTTGTTGATTCAAGTAATTTTTTATCACCTAATAAGTCTGCTATTTGAGTTTTCATATTGCTCTTAAAAAAATAACTCAATCATATACTCTTTATTCTTACTCAAAATACATGTCCCATGATACTTTATTTACAAGATATGGTACCTTTATCACTAATTTTTTGAGGACAAGAATTCTAAAAGATATACGAAGTATTGTAGATTCCTAAGTGGAGAGAGGCAATCATGGAAAAGATATAAGACTTGAAAAAAATATTGCAACAGAGGAAATAAAAACATTGCATAAAGGCAAAGTTTGTTGGCTACAAATGAGTGTTTACATTGCAATATAGAGTTGATTAGATTGAATGATATAAAACTCGACTGATTGCAAAAAGATCTACTCAAACTTATGAAGATTATAGAAAAAAATTTGCACCGTGGCAAAACTAAACTCAATTTGGGTTCTTATATCTTTGGCAGTCAATCTAAACTGCTTATTTAAGCAGTTGGATATTAATAATGCATTTCTTAATGACAATTTAGAAGAAGAAATGTACATGACAATGCTACATACTTTTGATACAAAAAGATATCAAGTATATAAATTGAAGGAATCTCTATACGGGTTCAAACAATCACCAATAACATGGTTTAATAAGTTTATTAAAGTGATAAAAGGACAAAGGTATCAATAAGGGCAATCTTATCACATTTTTTTCTTTCGAGAGTCTAAAAGTGGAGGAAAAAAATCCTTATCCTTTATATAAATAACATAATTCTTATAGGTGATGCTTCATAATATATTAAGATATTAAAAAAAATATTGGTCACAGATCAAAGACCTAGGACTAATGCAATATTTATAAAGGATGGAGTTTATCAGATCAAAGAGAATGATAACTATTTCTCAGTGAAAATAATATATACGATCTTTTGATTGAAACTGGTATATTGGAATATAAACCGAGTATATAGGACTAATTAAAATATGAAAGTATCATATATTAGTCGGCAAAATAAGATATCATATGCTCGACTAAATATTATTTTTGTAGTAAGTGTACTTAGTCAACACATGCATCATCATCAGAAACTCATTTAGCTGTTGTTTATAATATTGTCAAATATCTTAAAGACTCTTCAAGAAAGGGCTTATTCTTCAAGAATAACTAGGAAAATAAAAGTGTTTATAGATGTGGATTATGTATGTTCAACAAAAGATAGAATGTCTACTTTCGAATATTGCACATATGCATAGGAGAACTTAGCTACATGGATGAGTAAGAAATAAAATATGGTGGCAAAAAATAATAATAAAGCAAAATTTAGAGTAGTGGCACAAGAAATTTATGAAGGACTCCAACTAAAACTACTTTAGAGGAGTTGCAAGTAGAAGTGAAACCAAAGTCACCATCAATATTTTACTCAATCATATACAACATGATATGACCAAATATGTAAAAGTGGATTGATATTTATTATAAAAAAATTTGAAAAAAGTATTATCTGCATAAAATATGTACTTACCAAAGAGCAAATTGCAAATATTGTCACTAAGGTCTTCCTCACAAGGTTTTGACAGTTTCCTCCACGAGTTAGATTGATCTATATCTATAATCCAACTCAAAGGAAAGTGTGAAAATTCATTATCTTAGAGAATTGTAACTGATATCGAATAGCAAAAAATCATTATAGAAATCCCAAATGTATGAGATTGTGATTCATATTTAATACCAGAAAATTATTTATTGATTTAATTAATTAATTAGGTGTATATTTTGTAATAAATTAGATGCAGTCAATTACTTGATTTATTTCACTTTTTTGGTAAACTATTGTACTATAAAATGGGAGAGAGTTGTACAATTCTATAATTACAGAAAATT